TATTAGCCGTTTCCTTATAAGGAAACATTCGGCATTCATTAACCGAGCAGTCAGTGCTACTCGTTACGCTTGTCTTCACTCCCTGGTTGGGATCAAATTGTAGTATCTGTTCTTCTCATCTCTAATGATAATGGTAATATTAGCCGTTTCCTTATAAGGAAACGTTTGACATTCATCACTGTCGGTAGAAATTTACAAGAGCTTTCACTTAAAAAAAAAAATTCAGGAAAACAGTTTTCTAAAGTCCATGAGCCCTTTCTAGTATTTATGGCAGTTACCTTTCTAATCTTTTGTTTTAAGTAGTGTGGAACATCACATCGTGATTGCGTCATTATTTTCTATTTGAGTTATATGAGATGTTTTAGTTGTTGCTGTTGTTTGTTTCGTTTTTTTTTTGTTTTACAGCATATCAACCTCAATGGGTTATGTCATGCCGACATTGTTTTTTATTGCTGGTAATATATTATTTCCAAACATGTATTACTGGTAATAATTTTTTACAAAGTATTTCTGGTATATTCTGGTTTTGTGGTTAACTATTTGCCCATAGCTAGGACCCTAACAGGTGTTACCACCCCGGGTCAGGGTGGGCCTCGGAACAGAAGCAATTAATAGGTGGTGCCATGCTCCTCAAAACCTCCTGATCAGAGGCCTTGCTGCTGGATGTAGTTTATCGTCATACCCAGGACGCGGATGTAGTTTATCGTCATACCCAGGACGTTACTGTTGCTGAAATCCGTCAAGTGATATGATTCCTGTTATTTGGTAGAGTTCTTTGTTTGCAATTCTCTAGTGTCAATCCACAAGGTTCGAAGAAAGATGGTCTTCGCCAAGAGCCACAAACTTCATTCACTCGAAGTCATTTTAACCACTAATCTTAGAGGTTGCATATAGCAGACATTTTAGATATTTCTGGAAGGCTTTGGTATCGTGCATGACATCCATATTAAAGTAGCGATCCGACGAGGCTACTTAACAATATAACTCAAGATTTCAGGTTAATGTTTTAGTTTTGAAGCAACTTGCGTTGTGGGGCGAGACTATCCATACCACAGCTAATCCTATGTTCAACGTTACCATACTAAATTTGTTGAAACTAATCCATACGCTGAGCATACGAGGTCTGTAAATAAAAAAAGTAGGCAACGCCGATGACAAAGGCATCTCCGACATCAAAAACACAACATTCACAATCCTACACCCCAACACTCGGGGACAAACTCGTTATCCCCAACACTGACATCATTAACATCACCCAAAGACAATCAGAGACATAGCAAAAAAAATAAAATAAAATAATTAAAAAAAAAAATCCAACGCCATAGTAGAGGCATGATATAAAATAACTACATTGTCAGAAAAGCTACATAGAAGAAACATGTAGATATCTAAAACCTTGCATCTGCGAACATAAGAGAGAATTACGGTGGAACAACATCGTGAACTCGCTCGTAACACACAGTAACAAAACAGGTCAAAATTACGCGTTAATAAATGCCACCTTAAATAAAAAAGAACAATTTATTACGTAGAAAATACTTAGAAGGAATTCTGATAAACATTTTACCATCTTTAAACACACAACAAATACACTTTATTATAGCACTAACTTTTATAAAATCCATACATAAAAATCTGTCTATCTGTAAAGCCCGACCGGTGTAACCTAAGTTCTTTCACTCTCACTCAATCAACATACGGACACTAACAGACATGAATAAAAATGCCCACTATACGGTGAAACGCACATACCACACACATTATCAACCAAATCTTGCATAGTCTAACTAGAATTGCAATACAGAAAAACACAAGAATTATATATAAGAAAGCCGTTTGCATGACAAATACACGTGAGGTCTGCTTAATTAATGAAAATCAAACAACAAAAAAATAAAAATACCGGAATTTCTTTTTTCTTCGTTTGTGATTTGTTTCTTATCATATATATATATATATATATATATATATATATATATATATATATATATATATATTGTCATCCACAGACAGACTGTTTCGCTGACACTATATATATATATATATATATGTATGTATGTATGAATTTTTCTCTTGAGTAAGCACTGCAAAGAAGTTTTTACGTTCTTGGAATATTGATAAATACGGACTCCAACAATACCCCGATGTGAAAATAATGTTGTTTATAAATTCCCATATCCTTTTGGGTTACTAAATCTCTAATGTCAACAATAAACATTAATTACGCGCATTGGTCGCACATATACCACTCTTTCTCGTAGACTGACTTGTCACTTACCGAAATTTAGTGAAATTCGTTTACATATCTAGCATCAAATCACACAAACCAATTAATTTTTACGGGATATGATAGTGGCTACCAGACCGACAGGGCATTTCATTTCTGAAATTGTGGGAAAGTTTGACATATATGTCAAAAAGAAACTGTGATTATAATTGTTTTTATTAAGTGCTGTTTTGTTTTTGCGTTTTATAATAAGAGTTACTCTTATTTTTAAACGCTTTTTGCAGGTGGAGTTGACTATCAAATTTATTTTCTAGACGTGCATGTTTCATGGTACAATTGTCTGCTGGTTTAATTTGCCTGCTGGTATAAATGTGTCCGTATGGAGCTTTGGTTAGAGAGATGTAGGGTTGTCGCCTTGACAGGTGAGTGGCAGGTCACGAAATGCTCAGACCTAGATTTGTTTTACTCTGACATTTGTTGAGTCAGTGTGAACACTGGCTAGGCTGTTAATGGCTAAGCGACGTGAATTATCGGAGTTCAAACAGAATATGATTGAAGGCGTCAAACGAATGATAAATTAAAATTATGAAATTCTGGTTCGATCTCCGTCGTTCTTTGTGTACCCGTAATAGCTGATAGAAGTCACCACCGTTCACTGTTAACAGCACAGTTGTTGACCAGGGCTGTTTGACTCGATTAGTCTGTAACAAAAGGCAAACAACACTGTCCGCATCTAGTGTAAGCAGTACCATACATATATATGTACAATAGGCCAGCTTCATTTTTATAACTTTCCGTAGGAGATGGTGAATAGAATAACAACCAGTGTCCCCATTATCATCAGGAGACTAGAAACAGTGCGGTTTACGGCAACATCACGTTGAAACACCATGCGATTATCGAAGTTAACCAACATCTAGCCTGGTGAGTACTAAGATGGGTGACCTTTTTTTTGTAATACCAGGTGCTATAAGTTTGGATGTGCGGGTAGTGTATAGATAAAGGCTAGGAATTCATAATCAGAGAGCCGAGCTCCAATTCCTTTTGGGTTCGTTATATTCATTTAGGCGCGCAAAGAAATGGTATGAATCCACCTCTTCTTCCCCCAACTATGGGTTAATTAGTAAGGCTTGCATCACTAAAACCATTATTATCTACAAAACATTCTTACAATTTAAAAATATTTTTTGATTTTAAATAACCTCCAAAGGGTTGATAAACCAAAAAAACAAATCAATCAGTCAATGGACGCAGCGAAACTTCTCCCCAAGGTGGATCAGGCGACTTGTGTAACGTTGGGGTGGGGGTCAGTGATCATTGCACCAAATATAACACACTAGATATGGTCGTCACTGTATCGAAGGTGATAAATATGACAGTGATTTTTTTCCGTTTTTATGGAACCAACGTGCCATAAATGTGATATAATCGGCTATTCTGGTCACTGTATGGCTCATGGAAACTTTAGCCGTTCAGAGTTCCCGGTATTACAGTTCAGTGAATAATGAGTAAATAGGGCGTGGCTATTTTTGTCATTCCTCTTCCTCATGCTAACTGAAATTGTCATCTAGCGAAAATCTGTTCCTAAGTTATGTCCCTGCTCGGATGAATTAAGTGGCGTGACTTGTTATTCTCTCCAACAGGCCGTGTTTTTCTTTGTCTTTTTTTTGTGGTTATGTTTTTAGCCTAGCTACTTTTTTTAAAAAATGGGCGACTTTCCTGAGGGACGGGGAATTTCTAGCAGAAAGACCAAACTCTGTTGAAAAAGCTATCAACAATATATTAATGTTGAGAAAATATAAAAGTTACAGCCATCACATCTATGCGGTTCAACTTCAGTAAATTCATTTCTTTCCTTGAGGCATCGAGAGATATCTAATGGTTAAAATACAGGCGTGTGGCCAACTTCGCTGCTGCTAAAATGACGAC